GCATACTCAGAAATATGAACACACCATGACACTGCACCATTCCTGTTTAAAATCTCCATTTCATAACAATAACAATAATGATGATAATAACAATAACAACAATAATAATAATAGCATAAAAGCTGTTTTTAATTAAATTACCCTTTCCCCCCCCAAAAAAATTCATTTTTAAGTTAATCTGAAACTAAAATGAAGCCAATGCAACTTAGTTTTTATTAAAAAAAAAGACCAAACTTTAATTGCTAGAACTGACATAAGGACATTGTTAAAAATGCATTAAAATTTTAGTGTAGTGTAATGTGAAATGAAGATTTAGTGTAATGTGGTTGCCTTCACATGCACATTAACAAACCACAAATTAACTTTAATATAAATGACAAGATTTTAATGGTACAATTTCACTTGAGACATTTCCTGAAAATATCATCCTTTATTCTGTAAAAAAAAAATCCTTCTCAAACAGTCAACTACAAAACCTCCTTACAGTTCTAGTAATTCTTTGCTTTGCAAGCACTGTAATAGTCTCAGCGCTTGACAGATCTTTGCAGTCCCTTGCTGAGGAACGTTATTATTAAACTTTTGGACTATTTGCTAATGCATTTTTGGTAAACTGGCGAGCCTTGATCCATCTTTGCTCATAAAGGACTTGGCCTTTCCTGGATGCTCCTATTATATCCCAGTGTGATTCTATCACCTGTTACTACCTACCTATCCCACTTATTCCATCAGGTATTTTTTTTAACATTTCACAGCGTTCCTAGTCCTAAATGGCTGTTGTCCCAACTTTTGGGAACATGTTGCAGGCATCAGTTTGAGCATATATTTGCAAAAAAAGTTTATAAGATAAAACATTACTTATCTTGTCTTTGTACTGTTTTTTTTTTCTTCAAATACAGGCCATAGTGGATTTATAAATCAATGCTTTTTGTTTTTGTTTGAATTTCGGCTACTGACAAAGCTTTTTTGGAATTAGGTTTGTAGACGCTAGGTGACTTTTCCATGGTCATAGGTTTAAGATTACATAAATAGAAAACAAAAATCTTTCTCACAAAAGAATTGGCAAGAAATATTGTTTTCTTCAGATCTATTATTTTGGACTATTCCAACCAGACTTTTTCTAACACAATATGTTGCTTAATTACATTAATGCAATGAATCAAAAGCGTGTATATGCTGACACTATGTAACTGAATAGAAATGGGTGGCCTTAAGTTCATACAGTGATTTTGAGAGTAAGCATGTGTGTGTTGTTTTTGTTTCAAAACAATAAAATATAAATTTACAGTTAATATACCACAATGGAGAGAGGAGTTCTGGTGTTTTTTTTATTTTTGCCTTCTTTTTCTTTCATGTTGGAATTTGCTAAGCCTGATTTCAGTCATTTCCTTGCAGTGAATTCTGTAACATGTTCACGATGCACTTGCTGATTTTCTTACAAGGGCAAAATCTTTATGTTTAGGTGTATTAGCATTGATTAATGAATGGTTTTTGCTTTAGCCTTTTTAACTTTATATGGCCAAATGTGACCATCACACCTGTATGAACTGGTTGGACATCCATTCCAAAACCATGGGCCTTTCCCAAACTGTTGGGCCTTCCCCAAACTGTTGCCACAAAGTTCGAGCATGTCATAGCGAGCAACAGAGAGAGCATGACAGAGCGAGCACGTCACAGCGAGCGACAGAGCTTGCTAAGCTAATCTGTTTTGTTTTTATTTTTATTTTTGTACTGGTTGTTTTTCACCATGCCTATACTCTCCTCTCTGCATGGTTGCGAAAGCTGTACCCGTCTATCTCAAAAGATAGCAGAGTTGGAGGACAGAATCACGCTTCTTCACCAAATCAAGGAGGATGAGAACCTACTAGACTCAAGGCTAGCTACTGCTCAGGTCCTGACTTCAGTAACTGGGGTGGACGCAGCCTCGTCACAGCTCGAAGATCCCTGGCCTCGACTTGGTGCGGGATGCAAGGTGATGAGCTGCTCCACGCCTTACCAGACGGAGCCGTGAAGTGTTGGCCTGCAGGAACTCGCGTGGCAGTGGGCACTCGGCCTCGTAATATCCCCCTGAGCAACAGATTCTCCACCTTGGAGGAGCTTGAGGACGCTTCACCACCGTGGGCTTCCTCGACATGGCGTTCCCACCGGTCCGCGCTGCTGGATGCAAGGCCTCTTCGTCAGATCCCAACGTTGGGCGCCGTCGCATGACCTTCTTGCCGGATACCATCTCTGAATGCTGAGACACTGCCTTCTCACTGGTCCTCGCCGCTCATGCGGCAGTCTCCACCATGTACATTGATATCATTAAACATGTAAACAGAGACTCAGCAATCACATACTCCTTCTCAGGTGCCAAGGTAAATGACATTACACAGCAACTTCCTAGCCACCTCATGCAACATGCAAATGTTCACAATGTGATTATACACGTTGGCTGTAACAACATCAAAGGCAAAAAAACTGAGCTCCTGAAGAAAGACTTTTCACAGCTATTTAATGCCCACAAAAACTGGATTTTTATCTCTGGTCCAATCCCCTCCCTGGGAAGAGGCAGTGGTTGTTTTAGCCGCTTGTTAAACCTGCACAGCTGGCTCCAGGAAGCTTGTCTAGTGAATAAATTATGTTTTATCGACAATTTTAATCTTTTCTGGAACTGTCCATCCTTTTATAGGAACGATGGGATTCACCCCAGCGGGCTTGGCTCGCAGATTTTAAGTCACAATGTGTTTTACTCTGTTCTTAACCTGAAATGACTACCTGAAATTAGAAATAATTATTCAGCTATCTCCGTAGTCAGTAGTACTCAACCTAGGATTGGACATTCAGACAAGGGAATAAAGCGGAGAGGCAACTACTTTATTAGCCCAGCTAATCTTATCAGCATTAAGCCATCCCTGTTACCCCTCCATCCCCAAATCACGTCACAGATCCCGAAACCAATGCTTACAACAAAATTCTGGTTATATTCTACACAGAGCTGACAGGAACGCAAGGGGCGGTGGAGTGGCTATTTACACCAAATCTGTTATTTAAGTAAAAACTCTTATCTCATTATCCAAAGATAAATGTTTCTTAGAGTTCTTAGCCCTAAAAGTGTGCATAGGACGCAATAACAGTTTCATGGTAGCTGGGATCTATAGACCTCCTTCCGCACCCTCTCACACGGTTGATGACTTAGCTGAGCTTTTAAATCCATACATGAACTCAGAAATGCTAATCCTAGGTGATTTAACTTAAATTGGTTAACTAATGCATCCAATCACCTGAAGGAAGTATGTGGAAATCTATGTCTAATGCAACTAATTACAGAGCCAACACGACCTAACTGATGATCCCAGCAAGTCAACACTAATAGACTTAATTTTATCCAACAGACCTGGAAAAATTACTTCTATAGGTGTCTTTAACCCTGGTTTTAGTGACCACTGCCCTATCGGATGCAATACAAGCATTAGTTTGATAAAGTCAGGCTCTCGGATTGTGGTTAGAAGAAATTTTAAACATTTTACTGATCAAGCCTTTTTAAATGATCTGTATGGCCCCTATAAAAATGTGAGAATCAGAGATAGATCAAACCCCTGGTTCAATTCATCATTGAAACTGAACCAAACTACAGCATTGGCTTTTTACAACCATTAAAGTTAAAGTTGGAAACATATAATTGTCTCAAATATATTTATATACTGTAGCATTAACATCACCTTTCACAAAAACTAGGGAGTTTGCTCAAACCCTGAAAAACAACCCCAGACCATTATCCCTCCTCTGTCAAACTTTACTATTGGTGCAATGCATTCTGGTAAGTAGCATTCTCCTAGCATCTTCCAATCTCAGATTCATAAGTGAGACTGCCAGATAGTGAAACGTGATTCTACACTCTGTGCATGGTCTACCATTTTGTGGCTGAGCTGCTGTTGTTCCTAAAAGCTTCCATTTCACAATAATAGCGCTTACAGTTGACTGTGGCAGATCTAGCAGGGTAGAAATTTCTGACGTGTGGCAAAAATGGCATCCTATGACAGTGCCATGTATAAAGCTATTGATCTCTTCAGACCCATTCTGCTACCAGTGTTTGTCTATAAAGGTTTTGTTCATGATTTTGTACACCTGCTAGCATTGGCTGTGGCTGAAACTCCTGAACATATTCATTATGAGTGTTTTCCTCATACCTTTGGCCATATAATGTATATTTGTAGTACTATTAGCATTAGCCTTCCAGTTGAGCTGCTTCTACAACTGATGCAAAGGTTGTGGCCTGGGCACAGTCTGTAGCCAGTCTCTGGCTCATTAGTGCATGCCTACAATAGACCCTTTATATATGTACAGTAAGGTGTGTTTTTCTGGAGCTCCAAGGGCAGATATGCCTAGAGCAGCAGTTTGTGGGAGGCAGTGCAATGCAGAGGGAATAGTTGCCAGGCTGCAGGCTGAATGAGGGAGGCTACAGTAAGGAGGCTATACTGCTTGTCAGGGTGCAGTGAGTACTCTTTCCGTCCCTCCTTTTCCACATATTGATCTCCTTCACACTACGTGATGAGAATGCTGACACCAGAAGTGCCCCATTTGCACACAGGCCCTCTCTGACGTACGCACTCAAATGGCAATAATTCCATGTAGTGCTGAAGATAAGCCAGCATGTTTCATTTATGTCCTGGTGTTTGCAATAGGCCAAAGCTGGAGATGTGCAGTGGAAGGGAATGGAATCAAGTTTATCTTTTCAAGCACATAGGCCCCTACTGGCTACTGTTTCTTACTCTAAGAGAGCCTAGTAGGAGAATTAAAAAAAAAAATCATCTTGAAAAATGTGATAAAGTAGGTAAAGTAAGAGTCACAGAAAAAAATGTAATGAATAACTGACAAATGGTCCGATTTTAATTAGGCTGCATCACTAGATCAAGTTATTAAGCAAAATAATGTCAGCCTTTGTTGAGTTAGAAATAATGTTTAGGTAGATTCAAATAAAATACTAGATTGCCTTCGTAACCTCATTTACCTTGTTTTTGCAGTATGACTATGAAGGCAGTGGCATCAGTGATTTGCCTGTGGACCTGTCAGTGGTGTGGAATGGAGACTATGTCATCGACAACCCTCACAATATTAAAGGTATGATTATTTTCCTTTTCTTCTCCATCAATGTAACATCCAAGGGCATATAGCATCATACTTACTCATTTCTTCTTTACTCAAATTGCGCAAAGTGAATGTTGAATATTGGGATGACCAACCTTGTTACCAAAGAGCACTTTACTCACTCTCCATGATACACCTGGAACAAGTCACTTAAGCGTGCCAATAACCCTCCGTTTTGCATGTAGCCACAAAGTATTTTTGGTTTCTGTTTTTCTTTGGTTTCTCCTCCAAGATCACGGCCCCATGCACAGACCTTTTTTGTTCCATTTTTTTCTTACCTTCGAGCCTTCTTTCTGTTTCTGTATGTGTTCCATTATTTCAGTTTGCTTAAAATGGTAGTGAGAAGATGTGCCTCTCCTCAGAACGCTGTTGAAAACGATTTAGAGATGTGTTACACATGGCTACTGCTCTCACCAGGGCCTGCTGAGTTCAGTAACACTTATCTGTCTCGCTCTGCGATGCCAATGCAGTTCACCACAGCTAAATGACACCAGACCAGAGCAATGCTCCTCCAATGGTAAATAAAAGGTGGAGCGGTCATAGAAAATAGGGCTATGAGGTTAATAAAGGCATGGTCATCATAAACAAGATGACCAAACAAAATAAAATATTGAAAGAGGTAGAGAGGTTATATATCACATGGCTATTAGATTATTGTAAAAAGGCCATGGAAATGTCTTGAGATATAGTTATGGATCTCAGTTATAATCTCCTGCAGTGATGGCCATCATAACACAGTTACAACCCCAAAAAAGTCATGACCTTTCCTGATCTTGCTGAAGGTGTTATTGTGTTGGAGTGCTGCTTTGACTTTCTAGAGAGGGAAAAGAAAAGTAATATTTAAGAGAAGAAGCAGAGAAATATAAAAGGTGTAGACCACATGGTTTTGCTGCTTATATGTCAAAATATGTTTTTTGTAGTTCAATTCAGAACATACTTTCTTCATCATCACATTTTAGTAAGTCATTCATGATTGCTCTATAAAATAGAGGTTAACATTGTGATAAACCAGATGCTTAACACCATTGCTAACCTGTGTGAAATTTAAACTATCCACAGCCTGCATAATAAGGTGTCATGCTTCTTCACTTCTTATCATCCCTTTCCTCCTCCTCCTCTCTCTCTCTCTCGCTCTCTCTCTCTCCTCTTTTCACACTCCTCCTTCCCTCCATCTCATCCTTCTTCCCCTCCCTCTGCTCTCTTTGTAAAAGATTATAGATTTATCCATCTTTTCCAAATTGGCTGGTGTAAAGTGGAAATGTTAATGTAATTAAATCATTCATTTGGTTCAGTTTAATTAGCCCAGTGCTGCTTGCTAATCAGATTAGCACTAGGCTGCAGCGGATGAATATGCTGTTTCCTTTGAAGTCTCAGGGCCGTCTAATGCAACCAGGCAACAGCACGTTCTCCCGCTTCCCTGAAGTGCAAAGGGACAGGAGCCTCATGAGAGATGCCATCTTTCCCTCTCTATTTAATACAAGCACAGAAATGAAAAGGCCAAGTCTCTTGTCCTTTAGAAGCAAGTTGTCTTCTGTCTTCAGTCAGTCTGGGCCAGCTTTTCAGTCAGTCTTGGAAAGGCTGACCATGTTTTCAAGATGATTTATATGTTCTGAACAGGATTTTCAAGGAGTCATCCTCATTTTTTCCTAAGAAGTTGAAAGTTATGACTTTAGATTCCCTATACTGTTCAGAAATACTTATGTAACTGTATATTTAATAATATGATGAGATTCACAGTTAATAACGTTTACATTCTTTTAATGGCAACAATGTAAAGCTATTTAAAAAATCTTAGTGGAATACCCCCTCAGTGAGCTATGGATTAGATCTTAATATCTAATTACTCCATGCTTTTGTTATCACTGGTAAGAACTGTGAACTTAACCCACTGTGTGTATCTCCAACCCCTTCTTCAGCAAGTGGAGGTCTTGTTGCCATCCCTATCTGTAAGTGGTTGCTACGCTTTGAAACATCCTCTTTTCTATCCTCTGTGTTTCCTTTTTTTTGTTATTATTTGTGTGTTGTAAATTGATGCTGCAGCTTTTTTGTTCAGCATAACAGGTCAAGCTTCATGTCTTTGCCTCTCCATAGCGCACCTATATAAATGCTATGCTCTGAGGGACAGCTGTGGGATGTGTCTAAAGGCTGACTCACGCTTTGACTGTGGCTGGTGTGTTCAAGAGAAGAAGTGCTCCCTTAAGCAGGAGTGTGCTCCACCAGAGAGCACCTGGATGCACCCCAGTGCTGGCAACAGTCGATGTACACATCCCAAAATCACAAAGGTGAGAGTGTCAAAATGTGAAAGCGACAATTTGTAGTAATTATAAGCTGCAATTTCAGTATTCAACTACAACCCAGTAATAAAAATGAAAATTTCCCATTTATGGCAAGAAATTTTTCACCCAATATATTCTGCATCCCATCAATGCCGATACCAGTGAAATTACACGATTCTCAAAACGTGATTAGATACTGCAATAAAACTTTAGATGCTTTGTAGATACTTAATTTACTTTAGAGTTACATTTAACTAAATATCTACTCAATTGACCATAATTTTCTTTAATTCTAATCCTGGCTCTATTCCTAACATTAAACTCAACCCAAAACCTAAACCCAACCCTCACCCTGGTCCTAGCACTAACCCTGGTCCATATTCTAACCCTTCTTCTTCTTTTTTCTGCCCTAAAACGAATTGTGTAGACCAAACCGTAACTCGTACAAATATGAAACATTGTCAATAGGTAGTAGTCCCCGCCACTACTCAAGTGCTTGGGCTCAGCCCGATCAGCCAGATGGTGGCACTATAGCGAAGCTTCAAACTTTTTGGGTCATATCTCCTACACTGTATGTCATAGAGACAGAATAAAAAAAGAGAAAATTTGGATAATTTCCATTTATTTCGCAGGAGCAACTTCGTGTTCAAAAATGTGTGTGATTTTGCATAAAATGCAAATTATCGTAAAATCTTTCAGGGCAGAGTTCTTTTGACATTTTCGGGCCAGTGAGACAACTAAGTGGTTGAAAAAAGAATTTCGTTTCTGTGACATACGGTGCAAGAGAAATGACCCAAACAATTTTAAAATTCGCTATGCTGCCACCATCTGGCCAATCAGGCTGAGCTCATGTGCCTGAGTAGCAGGAGGGACTACTACCTATTGACCAAGTTTCATGTCTGTATGACTTATGGTTTGGTTTGCAGGATTCATTTTAGCGGAGTAAAAGAAGAAGAAAAAGAAACATAGCCACAAGCAGCAATCATAGGGGTCCAAGCAACAAGGAACCATGCACCATTCTAGGACAAAGTAGCAGCATAAACAGATTTCATGTCTCTGGTCATAGAAGGCAGCAAATTGTTGAATTTTGAAGAAAGATCTCCTTTTCTTATTATTAAGATAATTAAGTGTATGTTCACTACAATTTGTACAGCATCGTCCAACATTTGTGATGGGGAACTAAACCCATGACCTAGTCTTCATAGGTGCCTGTTTTCATGGTGAGTCACAAGAGGCTAAGAGGCCACAGCATTGCTGCTTTTTATTTTTTTTATTGAGCAATAAGGAACTAAGCACCATTTTAGGAACCAGTTCCAAACTTGCTTTTATTGTGATTATTATTTGATTATTTGAGTACTATATTTGAAAATAAATCATAATATGCCCCCAGTTTGTCATTTTGTACATTTGTTTTGGTTATAATCAGACATTTTCCTTCTGTTTTCAACTGTGCAAATACTGTATTTTTTTTTATTTTTAAGACTTGTGTTGGCACAATTGGCTGACTCAGTGGAATGCATAACATTCAGAAATGCTCTTTACCAAAAGACAAATGCAGTAAAGCTTCCCACTGATTGTATATTTCATTCATTTATTCAGCATTGTCATTTGCAGTTAATTTGCTCAAATCAAATTACAATGTTTCCTGTAAAGTTAAGTGACATACATATATTTGCAAAGTGTTAAGGCTCATTAGATTGTTGGCAGTACATTGAGCATTGTAAGAGAACGTTTATTCAGCTGATTATTGTCAGTGTACATATCAAATTTGGTCACAATCAGAAGATCACTGACAGAATTATGGTCCCTTCTGTCAGGATAGGCTAGGCTGAACTGATTGATTCATAACTTGCAGTAATACTGTGCGTAAAAGGCAAAATCTTCTAATAATTATTGACCTTGAGACTTGCAGTAAACGATGCAGTAAAAATCCAGCAAAAGAATGGAAAAATCACTTTTCAAACTCTGATGATTTACAGAAAAACAATAGAGTTTTTCGAAAGACTTGTATTTTCAAAATTGTCAGGTTCAGTGCAATACATTAAACTCAGGAAATTTCTGTGCCACAAGAAATATATTTTAAAGTATGTAAATTTGAAGTTGTAATTTGCATTTAATACTGAAGCTCCCTTTTTTGGCTGGAAAATATATTGCCACTCCTGATTCTGTGACAAATATGGGTTTAATTAAATTTTCCATATTTCATGTGCAATTTGGAACATACATATAATTGCAAAGTTTTAGATGTTAATAAGATGTATAGTTTGAAAACATTGTCTTTTTTTCAATCATAGAAAAATATAATGACATTTTAATAAATATGCACTAGATTAAGTATTGTAGGGGCCTATGGAAATCAATTTAAATGAAACATTGCATGCTTCCTCAGAATTGTAGTTTATTGTTGTTTATGTTGTACAGTGCCACCTCATGGCTAATGAGTGGGATATTAGTGGGTGGGATATTACACCTACCCTCCAAGTTCGGTGTTTGGATGACTTACGGTGTCTTCTCCCCAATCAGTTTTAGGGATCCATGCACCTAAGGGAAGTCAGAAAAAGTCAGAGTTTATCAAAAGGCATTCATCTGCCATAGCTGTTGAGCTGTGGTCTTTAAATATGATACGTTTCATTTCATTTGTACTGATCTATTGAGCTTTGTAAAACATTTTAAAGATTGTCAACATAAATGTCAAAAGTGCATGACTAAAGGTGAAATTTCTTTTGCTCAACGTTAGCCCAACATTGCTGTTATAGCAACGACCCCCCTTGGGTACATGCCAGCAAAGTTTTGTACATACATTTGAGGTTTCATGGTGATTGGCCAGTTCAAAGGCCTACTGAACACTGATTAGCCTTTTTTCTGGATGTGATATCAATCTCATATAACCTAAACCATGATAGAACAAAGTAGCAGCACATGTTGCATAACATTTTTTGGCTCATTAGTCAATTGGATGGAGTGCAAATGATCAAATTAATGAACTTTTATGGTAACTTTGGCTGCTTTTTGAATGCTGCAGTAAAAGAACTTCATCTTTGTTTGGTGCATAGTGTGACAGACATTAAATGAAAATCCATTGCTTGTGCTTTATTAGTAAAAAAAAAAAGTAGACATCATGAAATGTTCATAGCAAGGCAAATTTTAAACCACAGTTTGCTGTTTTTTGGTCTACTCCTTTGTAATACCCATTTTATAATATGTTGAAATTGACTCACAAGTGAATCAGATGGGTTAGAAATGAAGTGTTTTGATAACTTTCACTGCCGCTTACTTCAAAGTGCTGCGGCAGCTGGACATTTTTGATATGTTCATAGTATGACAGACTTCAAACAAAATGTGCAGTTGTTCTGTTGTAATTATCATTTTATAATGTGTTCAGTTTCACTCATGAGTCAATTAGATGGGGTTAAATTACAAACATGATAAACTGATTTGGTAACTTTAGCCGGAAATGACTTTTACATACTGCCGTACAATGACTGGTTTGTGCATTATATGACAGACTCTAAAGCAATATCTATTTTTTTGGAACATGTATTGGAAATTTTTTATAATGTGATGAATATGCAAATATGTTCAACATGTGGAATTATTATTTTAGTGCCCTCTATTAACATTTGTACACTGAACTGCATGGTGATTCAGAATTAGGCATTGAGCAGGTGTACCAAGCTTCTAACAATGCATTCTTATCATTGCACTACTGTCCTGAAAATGTATGTAAATTAATCATTTGTCACCTTTTACTTTAATTTAAACTGAGCAAGAGAGATGTTAATTTTAGGTAATTTATATAGGATTCCATAGTGTCGTGCCCCCATGAGGGTGATTTAGACCACAATTGTCAGGCTTCCTCAGTGTATGATTCTGTATGTCTGTACCAGGTCTCAATAAGAAAATGTTTTTGGAAGTTGCAGATAATGGAGTTGTAAAAACCTTAATGATGGATTGATTGACATGTTGCAGATACCCTGTTTTAAAAAGTCAACTTTGTTTGATAATTATTTACTTACAGACTCCATCTTTTACTTAAAGGCCAGTTTGAGTACTTTGAGCACTAGTTCAAAATGTGTCTTTTTCACATTTGTAGAAATGTGGTAATGGATAGTAATGAATAGCAGTTTCATAGCTCCATACTCCCTAATAGTATGCTAACTATGAAAGTTAAGAAATTCTAGCCTTTACAGCCAAATAGTGCATCACATTTCTGAGTATGGATGTGACTGAATCCCAAATGACTATTTCTCAGCTATATTTTGCACCATTGGGGTGCAGGATCCAGTATTTAAATTCCTACATAGTTCACTATTTAGGAAGCCGGGAGCCATTTGAGATTCAGCCCCAGCTTGAGAAGAAGGGCGCTGCTGGATTGGTGCTAAGACTTGCTTTAATAATTACTTGATTTTCATGAATAGCACTCCCAGTGGCCAAATCATTTGAAGCTTTACTGGTTGTTAGAAAGTGCCTGCATGGAGACACCATTCAGGTTTCAAAACGATTGGTCAATGTTCAGATGCCTGCTGAAAGCAGATAGGCTAAGGACAACTATAAATTTCAGCATATCAGATTGTCCTTAGATATTCCGTTAAAATCTGTTTAATAAATTCTACTTGCAATATTTCAGCTTCATTAGATGTACAGTTGCTGAGAAACAGTTATTTAGCAGTTACTGCGCCCCTAATAGGCACACCAAATTTATAGGCTACCTCAGAATCTAATCCTGAATAAGCCTGTCAAGTTAAAAAAAATTTTGATGGAGTCTCGAGTTAAAAAAAAATTTAAAAAATTATTACAGTTACAATTATCACAATTATTATGTTTGAGGCTCTTCTGAATCTTTTGACACCAATTACACGAGGATCGGGTGGAGACCCTGGGACTAGTTTGCAAAAGTAGGCTTCACATATTATGCAATTATGCATAAAATCTAAGTAGGCGGAGCAAGAAGTTCCAAATTGCAAATTAGTTTGGCTTGACCCAAGGTTTCATGTCTTTACGACCTA